TACACGTACACAACACAATCTCACACACACACACACACACACACACACACGCACACACACACACACAGGGTTGTAGAATAAAATGTTCTCTTTTTTTTTTTTTTTTTCTATTAAAAAAAAAATTGTCAAAATCATAAAAACAAAAATATGGGCGTGTAGGGTTTTTAAAACACCACATGCCCATTTTTTTTTTCATACATTAAAAAAAAAAGAAAAAATAAAAACCCAACCCTGACGCCCATTTTTTTATTTTGTTCAACGGGATTCAACGGGATTCAATGGGGATTCAACGAGATTCAGCGGGATTCAACAGGGAATCAACAGAGATTCAACGGGATTCAACGGGATTCAACGGGATGACAATTTTTTTTTGCTCCAGGCGCGTCCAGCGACGTGTCCGAGGCCCACACCCTCCCCGTTGAACAGTATTCAACGGGGAAGGCCCGTTGTACTATTCAATGGGGATTCAACGGGGCCCCTGGGCTATTCAGCGGGTACAACGGCGTTGAAGCTTTTTCGTTGCACGTTGAATAGACACAGAGGGTCTTGAGTTGCTGCGCCAGGCTCAGGGCTTGAAGAGGTGTTGATCTTCGATCTGCCGCATCCTTGGCCTTTGCCAGGGCGGCCACCATCCTGGGCGGCTGCGAGTCTGTCTCCCTCATTGGTAGAAGCAGCCTCGCTTGAAGGTCGATCGGGGTTGCTGCCGCGAACACGACCACTTTCGGCCGATGCTGATCTCTGCTTGGGCCCGCAGAAGACAAACGATCAAGTTTTTTGGCTTCCGTGTTCGTTACGATAATCTGTGCGGCCTTGTCGAAGAGCTCCGCAATCGTGGTGAAAGTCTCTGCGACTTGTGTTAAAGCATTTGACAGTGTTGGACACAACATCGTGATGAAGTAGTGTTTGAGGCCTTTGAAGACCATCGGTAAGTCCGGCGTGGACGCCAAGCGTTGGTACTCGGCGATCCAGTCTCCGCTTGGCAACGTGTTCTGATGAAACTTCAGCAATTTGTCCATTGTCTGAAGTTCGGGCGGCTCCACTTGCAACCGCTTGTGCCACGCCGCCTTCAGATCGGCCCAGCTGATCTTGGTATGCAGTGCGGAGACCGTGACCCCGTGCGTGGACAACATATTGCCGAGCCAAGCTTGGCACGCGCCCCCCGATCGGGAGTATAAGTACGCATGTCGGCTGTCGTCGTGGGTCTTGTGGATCTCCAGCTTGAGCTCGGAACTGTCTAAACCACAGAATCAGGTCCGTCGTTGCATCACAGAAGACCGGTTGGCCATTGAACTTCGGGATGCTCTCGCGCGGTGATGCGCTAGGGCTGGTGGCTGCTGTGCAGATCTGTTGCTCCAGCTGTTGAGTTGTCACCAGCTGTTGCTGCGTGCCGTCCTTGAGTGTCCCGACGCCAATTTCCAAAACATCGAGGCGATCGGCATAGTTGGAGGAGTCAGCGCTTGGAAGGCGACGGGTCGTTGCTCCAGCTGCTGTAGGCGGCTGGTCACTTGGGTGAACGACTTTTTTATTTTTTTGCTACCTTTTCTGTAAGAAGAAATGGAAAAGGCAGTATGGTGAGGGAAACGTATCTGGGGTTGACGAAGTCAGGCTGTGTGACGGAGAACTTCAAATGCCACTAGGCCGGCGAAGTATGAAGCTTGCTGCTGTAGTGAGCAAGATAGGAGGAACCTGTCTGAAGAAGTGGACGCGTACCTGGGAAGGTGGTTGACGAATGCAAGGTGCGAATTTAGCTGAAAGTTGGTACCACGTTGTACGTGGAAACAGAATATGTACTTTCAGAAGTAAGTTTTTGGACATCTCTGCCGACAGGTGCATTTGGCCTCGGCTGAAATTACAGCCAAGATACATTCACGGCGTAGGAGGTGTGCTTATGTGAGTGAGAAGAAAAGGACAGGTCACACACACACACCAAGCAAATCAAGCAGTCAAACAAGTGAACGGGGACTCCACTATCATACATATACATGTACTCAGGAAGTCTTAGCAGAATACAGGAATCCCAGCGGCAAACTCAGAAATCAGCAGGCTTCTCAGTCTTTGATTTTGCAGATCTATTACATCATTCAGTTTGTCTTTATTGTCTTGGCCCCCGAAGGTCGATCATGATTATGCCCAAGTTTCTACAGGCTTATTTGACTTAACTCGAGCTGCTACTACTGCAAATAATTGCTGAGTGGCGCCATCACTGACTGTCATGGATGTGCCGCTGCTACTAATGGCCGCTGCAGCTACTAGCTACTGACTCGCTCTTGTCGCTACTGCCGAGTGCTGATACAACTACTCCTGCTGGCTACTACAAGTGGCTGCTGACTGAAGTTGAGGATACTGTGGCTGCTGCTGACTGCAGTTGGTCTGCTGTGAAAGTTGCTGCTAGCAGTAGCTTCTAGTTATATTACTGGTTATTGCTGTGAACAGCGTCCAACTGCTGCTGTTGCAGTGGCCACAGGTTATTGCTACTAGCCTACTACTGATTACGCCTGCTACTGGTCACTATAGAGTGTTGGCACTTATTTTCTTACTACTCAGGTCGCTGATTTCTATTTTATTTTGACATGCCTTGACGGTTCTCCAAATGAACCCAGCTGCAATAGTAACTGAAGAGCAGAATGAAACTATGAGGGACCAGCCAAAACCCCAGTCAAGTGCATCGGGAATAGAGAATCACGGAAAGAGCGAGAAGAGATCAGTAAGTTATCGTTGGATAAATTGCATTGCTGAAATAGAACCCAAGAAAAAGACTAGGGACAGCAAGTGCATGGACAGCAAGCCACCTAACTGAAAAAATTGGATAAGTTCTATCAATGGTCACTTTTGTTCTCCTAAATTGATTTTGTATATGACTCTATTTGCTCTAGAGAGTTAAAACGATCTGTAATTAAAGGTACTTCTTGTCTGTTCTCTGTAGGGTGAAATGGGGGGGAGGAAGTGAGGCGGCAATATGATTTAATTAGTTAGATCAAGTTGCTATTTTGAATTTTCTGTGAATATGTTAATATCCGATCTCCAGGACGGTCGTTGTGAAGTCAACAAATAGCGGGACAGCATCTGACAGCTGTTATGGATACCTACTGTCAGCATGCTACTGTTAACGATCACTATTTGCTGCTGATGTCTGATATGATCAGCAGTGCCAATTCATGGCTGGTTTTCTGCTGCCAGCAGCAGCGGGATAACTGCTGTTTTCTGCAGCCGTTCACTTCTGCTGATCATAAGTGGTCAGCGGCAGCAGTTAGTTTATGATGTTTTTCTGAATCAAATTACTACTGCTATTAGCAGCAGATAATTTCTGTTTTCTGCAGCAGTTCACTGCTGCTGACAGCAGCAGCTCACTGCTGAGTTCTCACGCGGTCAGCAGCTGCAGTTTGCAATGATCTCTGAACCAATTTACTTGTGCAGCAGATAACTGCTGTTTTCTGCAGAGATTCACTGCTGCTGACAACAACGGTTTGCAGCTGGTCTCAGACGCCGTCAGCAACGATATTTCGCTGCTTCTTCTAAAAGGTTGCTGCTGGCGATAGCAGCAGTCGGTCACTGTTTCCTGCAGCAGGTCACTGCTGTTAGCGGTAACAGCTCATGAGGGGCTCAGGTGTAGACAGCGATAGGCAAGCAAAAAGGGAGTGAATGACAACCTGATGCAAAATGAGTGACCCTGGTCAGTTGAGCCATGAGGCAGCTGACCTTACCCAAACCTATCTGAACTACAACCTTTCTGATTTTATCGCTTTTCAGTTTTAATTAACGATGAACCAGGGCTGGGCTGGCAACCAGCCGGTTGTACCAGGCCGGTCCAACCGGGGCCGGTCGGTTTCAGGGGGTTCAACCGGGAAAACCGGTTGAGCCCAAAAGTGGCCCGAATTTTTTTTTTTTTTTTTTTTTTTTTTTTTTTTTTTTTTGGGATGCGCACACCAAAAGCTGTCGGATTCTGCGTTAAAACTTTGCAGGCACAATTTTTTTGCTGGGGGCTTTTCGGGGTTGGGGGGGAGGCTGGGGAGGGTTGGTGAATGAGGGCTTTGGGAGGTAGAGGGCAATGGGGGATGGGGGGGTCGATGGGTGAGGGGGCAGGTCGAACAAGACAAGGGGTCGATGGGGAGGCCTACCATTGCCCGCTGGGCAATGCCCAGCAGTTCCGGGCGTAGTGCCCAACCTTGTCATACAAGTAGCATGATACAACGCATGGCTGATTACCTCCATCAACCTGCATACACCGTTCCCATACCCTTCTATCTGTGGTGCACCTTGGTTCTGCATATTTGCCCTCCCTAGCCTCTCCTCCGATTTTGCCTTCTCCTTCTTCTCTGATGCCTCACTGCACACCCAACATTATACAGTCTTCCTAAAAGCCTCTCCAGTTCACTAATTGGTTCTTTCTAAGTATTTTCCTCCCTGAACTATAAAGCTACAAATATAAGTGGGATAACGCTATGATACACAATCTTTTCTAAATCCAACCACAGTCGCTCGAATTCTGCGGTCCTAAAATTCCGGTTCTTCACACCTTCCACTACTTCCTAAATGAAATCAGGATGCGCAATTCAAAACTCCACCCTCCATTTCCTCTTCTTCCTACCTTGTGTAAAATCGACGCTCTTTATAATCCGATCGCTATCCAGCACCCGCACATCACCATCTTGTGGACCTCTTCCCCTCTCCACTTCACCATTCCACTCACTTTTCTGTCATCTTTCCCCTACTGGAGATCCTTCCGTCAGACATTGAAGACGATCACGCTCCAATCTGTTCTTCGAATCCCTTCCTTATTGCAGTGCTCGGAGATGTTCACACTCCGAGTCTGCATACACCAAAGCACTTGATCGAAATCGTACCCACTGAGTGTTGTCTCCCAAGACCGGTCACCACTCCCTGTGAGATAGAGATTAGAGAGTAGAGGAACCATAGGAAGAATCATCATGAAGCGATCATTCAGACACAGACTTCTCGTGTCTTAACTCATCACTCATCGCTTTCTTCATTCCAACATCAGAACCATATACGCGGCGCCCCTACGTGTTTCACTGCTGGCGTACATCGGCAGACTCATCAGGGGGCTTCCACCCTCCCCACCCTCGCTACTCATTTGAGTCGAAATAGCTGTTCACTCTCCCTCTCCTTTCCTACATGAAAAAGGTTGATAAAAAATAAAAAATGAAAAATGAAAAATAAAAATTCAAGATATGCTTTGATACCTAGGCATGTCGGCAGAACTGATGGCTACAGCAGTCGCACATATTATCTCGACAAGGTTACTAGAGGGAGACGAAGATCTGGAAGCAAGAGATTTCTTCACAAACAGCGAGAGATTCTACAGAAGTGAAGCTTCTGATGATGAATTCTGGAATGCTGACGATGAAAAGGAAAAGCCCGATTGGTTCTCTGAATCAGAGAGAGACGTCAATGGGAAGACAGGGATGAGGGGATCCAACACTCCTGGGAAGGAGCTACCTTCCCTTTCGGGCGATAGCGGACTGAAGATCTATCAGGAGACGACCGTGGAGGATGGGAGTGTGGACGGCCCCCCCCCTCCCCCCACATAGACACCACTCTACCTTTCAACCCCCTAACCCGATGCAACCACAATCATGGAAAGTTTCAGGCTGAAAGCCAACAAGGTGGGGGGTAGTGTCGATTGGGGCAATCAAGGACTGGTTATCAGAAGCTGGAACGTCAATGGGCTTGGAAACATAATAGATAGAGAAGAGAAGTTGAATGACATCGTAACAGGATTATCAGTTGCCAACAGGAAACTAGCGGATATTATACTACTACAAGAAACCCACCTCACCTTATCGTTGGAACACAACAGAATGAGTTCTTTCCTAGCAAGAAAATTGGGAGGCTTGAAAGACGAAATATGGTCAGCAGACCCCGCCTCCAGTACCAAAGGAACTGCGATCCTGATCCCCAAATCCTCTCGTCTATACACAGCAGGTACAGTCATTGACAAGAAAGCAGATCTGAATGAAGGACGATGGTGTCTCTTCCACCTCAAATGGAAAGAAGAAGAATTCACACTAATCAATGTTTACGCTCCTAACTCTTCGTCAGAAAGATCAACCTTCTTGCTAAACCTCAGAAACCAGATCCCAGCAATGACCCCTAGTAACTTGGCGGGAGACTGGAATGCCACTATGGATTCGGTCACAGACCGCATATCCCGACCGTCCAACACGCCTAGTCCAACAGAAGCACTACCTATCTAGGAGTTAATTTTAGAT